AATATCTTCAGTCTGACGGACCTAATGACTGTTTACAATCATTGGACAGACCGAAGATTTTTTCTTCCCTGCGGTAGTTACTGAGAGTATCGCAGTAGCAGAATACAGGTCGAACTGCCTGACCAGACAAATAGCCTGATTAAAACATAAGTGACAAAAAATAACCAGCGAAGTATCGAAGGATGATTCTTCTAATTTTATTAGCCTACATTGAATGTAAACAGCGATTGATAATGGATAGTATATTTCTGGTATCAAGGTCACGCTGTTAAGGTCCCCATGAAATCAAAATTAAAGTTTTTTGGGTGTTAGTATCAATATGTTAGTCTTAAAGGGGTCATATGATGCTGCTAAAAAGAACAGTATTTTGTGTATTTGGTGTAATGAAATGTTTATGTGGTTTAAGGTTCAAAAAACACATTATTGTTTCTCCTCTATGCCCCTCAAGCGTGAGACGGAAATGTTACGTCCCTCACCATACTGTTGATGCCGTGTCTGGCCGGAGCGACGAGACAAAAACATTCAAACCCATTATAAACGAGGCATTTGTTGCATCCAGTGGGGACATAATTACGGATTATAATGACTTATACTGTCTTTTTACGCGTTGCGTTGCATCGCGCCGCGTAAACATAAAACCATGTCTGCATTTGTGATCGGAGAAATGACAAACAACAAGCCCTACTCTACACTGCCCAAAAAAACTCGCTTTAAATATATAAAATATAAAAACTCTTTAAATATTGTAACGGGGTGAAGAATCACATGATAAGTAATCTCAATCAATACCCCGGAGGGTGGATTTATTGGGGTGATGGGTGCTAGTGAGAAAGGTCCAGGTAGGTGCTCCGGTGCTGTGAGTGCTCTTTCCCGTCTTCCCAATGCAGAGGGTCCGTGCAGTGCTCCTGTGGGGCTGGTCGGTCACACGCTGCTTTCTGTGGGAAAAATGAGAGGGCGCGTTGAATCGCTACTGGTGAGCTGTCTGAAGCGGCTCAGCGTCTGTGTTACAGCCGAACGCACAGCCTTTCAAACTATACTTCACTGCACCGTTTAGGAGGCGTAACCCCAGGTGTGTCGCCGTATCCCCAGCTGTGTGCCGCCGCATTCTCGAGTTATGAAGAATAAAGAAGGGAAAAGTTAATCTTCCGAAATGAAGCAGCAATATATTCTCAGGTAAAAGTTATTAGAACCGTGTCTAGGGGCAAGCTGGCCATCACACAGCTCTGACCTTATCAGCCCGTTTGTAGCTATTATTTGATTTGCTTTTGTCGCTTATGGCAGAACAGCTAATCACGATGATCTTGTCTTCGGAAAATATTATTTTATTCGCTTACGTCAGAAACAGCGAATCTCTTTAAAAACGGGCTGTTGTTGTCAATACATTGCATTGTACATTGCATTGTTATATTTCGTAAAAGTTTTACCCGCCAACTGGTGACTGACACGGTTACATTGACTCGCCAACGCTGATTTTTACTCGCATTTGGTGCTTGGCGAGTGTTAATTTTAGGCCCTGTATGTATGTAATAAAATGTGTATTTCCATTACAGGCTTAGGTCTTAAATTTCATACAAGGTGGTATTAAAAAGGTCTTAAAAAGTCTTGTTCATGTCTGTAGAAACCCTGTAATATCTGCCAGTGAGGTCAGAAAACTTGCTTTCCCTTTGAATTGAGCCCAGTGGCAGATATTTGTGACCCTGGAGCACAAAAGCAGTCTTAAGTCGCTGGGGTATATTTGTAGCAATAGCCAACAATACATTGTATGGGTCAAAATTATTGATTTTTCTTTTATGACAAAAATCATTAGGATATTAAGTAAAGATCATGTTCCATGAAGATATTTTGTAAATTTCCTACTGTAAATATATCAAAACGTAATTTTTGATTAGTAATATGCATTGCTAAGAAATTCATTCGCACAACTTTAAAGATGATTTTCTCAATATTTAGATTTTTTTGCACCCTCAGATTCCAGATGTTCAAATAGTTGTATCTCGGCCAAATATTGTCCTATCCTAACAAACCATACACCAACGGAAAGCTTATTTATTCAGCTTTCAGATGATGTATAAATCTCAATTTTTAAAAAATTGACACTTAAGACTGGTTTTGTGCTCCAGGGTCACGTTTGTTCTTATTTTAATCATAAACTCATTTTGATCATTCTATCATTTAAGACTTTTTTTTTTTTAAGAGTCATTTTGCTTTCTCCTGATTTAAGAATCTTTAGACATTTGCACTGGAAAACAAGACCGAAATAGTGAGGAAGAACAGCACTTTTGTGATCAGATGGTACAGTAAAAGTTATTCCCGAATCTTGTTTTCTGAGAAACTGATCAACATGAAGTGAGTTTATGATTGAAACCAGAACAAATATCTGCCAATGGCCTAAAAAAATCAACTTAATTCAAAGAAAAAACAAGTGTTCATACCTCATTCTTGTTTGAAACATACACTCAATTTTGTTCAGTTTCTCAGAAAACAAGACTTCATATGTTAAATGTGCATCTCCAGTAAATGTATCTTGATTTAGGGATGTTTAGATATTTGTTGGAAAACAAGACAAATATTTTTTTGCAATGTATGCAACATTAAATGCCATGACTTGATGAATTTAAGACTTTCTGCTCTGGTTTTGTGGAAGGGTGATTTAAGACCAGCAGAAATCCTGTTACTTAGCCTTAAAAAGCTCTTAAAAGTATCTTTAATTTACCTTCATTAAACCTGCAGATTGTGTCTAAATCCTGTGTAGTAATGTGCTGAGCGTCTGTGTGTTTTTTAACAGGTGGACGTGTTGGATGCGAGTAAGACAGCTGAAGCGTTTCTGAAGATCTCGTCTGTGTATAAGGAAGACGACGCAGAGGTGAAACCGACCGTGCTGGAGAGTATCGGTGAGATGAACATCTGTCGGACGGCTGCTGAACGATCCGAGACGTCTGACTGATTCTCGTGTGTGTGTGTGTTTCAGACGCAGTGCTCAGTAAAGCCTTCCTCACGCCTTCCTTCCAGGGCTTGAGTTTCATGTCGTCGTTGCTGGTGATGCTCGGGCTGTTGAAGGTACAAACGTTTAGTCTAGTTTGTTTACGTATAGTTTCTTCTTGTTTCACTTGGAAATATCATGTAACTAAAATCGGTTATGAATGCCATTTTATGCTGATTTTCTGTCATTTCCACACAGTTATTGTTGCTAAATCCTGATTGTGGTGCAGATTTAGGATTACATCAGCTTTACATTATTACCACATTTCACTGAAGTATTTTACCGGCGCGGTTCTCCTGTGCTGAATGTGTTTAGCTAACCATTCTGTGAAAGCTGTGCGTGGAACAGCTTGTAAAACGTTTTTCAAACTTTTTCATGCCAAGGACCCTCAAATATTGCAAACAACCCTCTTTCTCAAATATAAAGACCAGACAGTAAGCACACTATTATAACATATATAACATGTTTAAAAACAATCTTCATGCTAATTTTTTAAGATATAAAAATGTATAATGATTATTATCAGGGTTTCTGCAGGTTTTATTA